TTGTGGTTGGAAGGCTGGGTGTTGATTTGGGTCGAGGGAGCAAAATGGAAGAGGAGGAGGTTCAGACTATGGGGTAATCAATAAGAAAATGCATAATGTGAGAACTAACAATATAGTTCATGTAACAAAGATTTTCTCAAGACTAAAACGCGGATTGCCTGGGGCAGGACCCACAAAAAAATATAGATGGGTGGACAGAAGGAAAAGGGTGAGAGGTAATGGGACAACTGGTACTGCTCATAGGGGGATCATGATGTCACATGCCCCCCTTTCGTTGAAGGAACAACAGGAAATCAAGGGGAATGATGTTGTCTCTGAATCTGGTGCGATACAGCTACCACAGGATAATGATATTGTTGACGAAGGTTCAGGGGAGGTGACCATCCAAAAAATAGTTGATAGGGAGGTCGTAATTGGGAAAAGCTTGGGTCTGTTTTTTTGGGGTGCTGAGGATTTTTATTTTATTTTTTGATAAATGTGGTGAGGATTTTGCTAGGAGGGTTTTTGAAGAATTTGAACGAAAAAAAGAGGAGAAAATAAAGGACAAAACACATTTGAAAGGGAGCAAGGATTGGGACAAGGAATTTTCAAACCAAGAGGGTGTGTTAGCTGGATAGCTAAAGGCCTATGGGCCGACGAACTACCCAGCGTCCTCTGGGCGTACCGAACCACACCTCGGACAGCGACGGGAGAAACTCCCTTCGGCCTGACCTACGACACGGAAGCAGACTGTGGTGGCACCGAAGAGGATGGTGGAGGCGCCGAAGAAGCCTTTTTAGGTAATCTCATGATGTCGTTTTCAGACTCTGGTCCCAAGTAGCTCGTACATAACGCCCTCCGGACCATCGTGGGCTTGGCTCAGGAGCGTGGAGTTGACATTGAAACTATTCCATGCCATGTAGGAAGGGTTCTTGTTTTTGTTTAGAGTTGGGTGGTGGTCCTTATTTCAATGGGGATTTGTATTGGGTCTGTCATGTGATTTTTATTCGAAGTTGTTTGGGTTTTTTATGGTTGCAAGGTGTGGTGTTATTACGCCTTTTTTGAGTTTCCCGAGGGTGTTTCTTGCTTTTGGTGATTTCTTGTCACCTTCTGATTTTTTTATTGTTTATTTTAATAAAATTTCCTTTTTATTCTTCAAAAAAAGTGCTGAAACTTCAATAAATTTGATAACCACATCATGTACAGGTTACACATAACGCCAAGAATGCTAGTATGCCACATAACAGCTTGTTCACTACTTTCTGTTGCTGATCCATAAAAAATATGCTTGATCACAATTATAACATCATATGTTGGGCTGGGACCACATAACCAGAAGCTTTATCACTGTTGCCACTAGGGGTGCAACTTGGGCACACCTAACCTGAGCCTGGACTAGCTTGACCTGAATTTTTTTTGAAGAGTAAAATGAGAAATTTCGTTAAACAAAAGAAAGGAAAACAATCTGAGAGGTGACGTGATGGCACCTCACCATACACAGCAACTTTAAGAACTAAAGAACAGGAAACTGAATGGAATTACAAATGAATTTTAAGAACATTCCAAAAGTTCTCTCCCATTTCTGATTTCTGATTTGAACAAATTCTGGGAGCACCCAAGCCCAGTCCAGCACTAGTTTCCTAACCGGATCCACAAGTGATTCAATATTTGTAGATTTATCTTCAAATACTGTTTCTTTCATTCCAGAGGACCCAGCAAACAATAAAAGGGATGCAGCTCCATATTATCTTTTGCTTTCCTTCTGCCTCTGATACTTGGTCAGGCTAAGAAAAGTTCTGCTGTTGATCTTGGCTGAAATACTCTGACCCCAAATAGTAAAGAGTAGAATTTCCAAATAAAGTTTGCAACCTTACGAGTAGGGGAGGGTTCGAGCCAAGCCAAGCTGAATACTTGGCTATTTGAACTCGGCTCACTGAAATTGTGTTAGGCTCGAGCTCGAGTTCAATTCGAGCTCAACTACAAGCCAAGTTTTTTTTTCTAAAAAATAAAAATCATACATATAAAAATATTTTTTTATTTTACATAGAAAAAATTAAGAATTATAAAATTTATTTATTATTATACATATAACGATATAGAAATGTTTTTATTTTACATGCAAAAAAATAAGAATTATAAAAGTTATTTACTATTATACATAAAAAAATAAAAATACAAATGATTTATTATATATGTATGTATGTATGTATGTATGTATGTATGTATGTATGTATGTATGTATGTATGTATGTTATTTAGTTATTATACTAGGCTCGATTAGGCTCACGAGCCGAACGAGTCGAGCTTCACTGGGCTCGAACTGGCTTGATTAGCAAACGAGCCTATATATCAGGCTGGAGCTCGGTTTAAACCGAGCTGAGTCGAGCTTTTCATGAGCCAAGCTCGGCTCGTGGCCACCTCTACTTACAAGTGTAGAACATATGAAGAACTGTCTCTTCATCTGAACAGCATAAAACACAGTAATTGGCCAAGCTAAAACCACTACTATTTAAGTGATCTGTAGTTAATATTTTCTGTCCAAAGCGACCAACCATGTAAAGGCCTAAACTGAAAATTTACATGAACTTGTCTTGGATTTTCAGTCATTGAGTTGGGCCTAGGCCCAAAACCTTTTTATTTTTTGTTTTTTGGGCTAGGGCCGGGCTGAACTTGTCTTTTCCTTAAACCTGGCCCGGCTTGCCCAAGTTGCACCCTTGGTAGGCACATAATGATTGGAATTTAGAATTTGCACATATATTAACTAAACACTAATATGTGGGAGGGTGATATGGCAAACTACAAGAGCAGCTGTCATTTGGTTGGTGTGGGAGGAGAAAAATGATAGGATCTTCCAAGGGAAAGAAAGATCCAAGGAAGCACTTGTTGAGGGCATTGCCATCAAGGTTATACATTGGCTGAAAGTTTTGGAACTGTCCAAAGACTTTTCTTATACTGACTTCACCAGAGGATGGAGTGCCATAGCTGGATCCTCATCCTTTTCTCCTATGACACAGGAAAGTTGGACCCCACCACCTTGCTTTAGAGTGAAACTGAATTTTAATGGAAGCTCTCTAGGTAACCCAGGCCCCTCAGGTATAGGGGGTGTCTTTAGAGGTGCGGAGGGTAGAGTGTTGGCCCTTTACTCAGGCCCTTTAGGGGTCGGAGATTCCTTAAGGGCAGAAGTGTTCGCCTTATTTCAAGGTCTCTGACTGGTAAAGCAATGGGGAATGCAATAGTTAGACGTGGAGGGAGATTCCAAACTGGTAATAGGCTGGATGCAAGCAAGAAGCTTGGGCACGTGGCTTTTCAGACAACAGCTTAGAGAAATCTTGAGCTTAGCAAGAGAGATTGGGTTGCAGTTTAAATGGGCAAGAAGATCAGCAAATGGAATAGCTGATGCTTTAGCTAAGTGAGGAGTTAAAAGGAGTTGTTTTAGGCTTGTTTGTAAGTCTGATATTGTCAAAGGGCTTTCTGTCCGGCCTTTGGATGATGACAGTTGTAACCTCTAACTATTATTATTAATGAAAGTTAATGTTTCCCATAAAAAAATTAAGATTAACAAACTCTACCGGTGGAGAATGATGATGATTGATAACTGACTTGTGATCAGAAGAATCCACCACTTCAAATTTCTTAGTAGATCAGTTGTTGAAACACATGAGAAACCTTTCAAGGACTTCAGCCAATGCACCATTCTTATTTTTATTGTTTCAGTGACATCTCCTTTGCTTATTTCCTTGTGTTCCTCTCCTCTCAAGTTGTCCAAAGAATAGCAGTTTTTATACATCTCCACATTAATTCTGCTCTTTTTTGGCCAACCCAAGGTAGTTGTATCGAACATGCTTTGCACATCCACTGGAGGATTCCACCTGCACCCAAACAAAGAAAAATACCACTCTCAAATAGAAATAATAAAAGAACAAGAAATAAAAAGGTGAAGGCAACTCTCGCCATCAGCTTTGCATAATACACACCAATGAGAGGATAAATACCATCTTGGCATCAAGGCTTTAATCTTTCCATGTACAACTTCCCAACTAAAAGCAGCAGCCCTTGGTGGAATAGGTTTGCACCACACCTCTTTCATTGGAAAAGAAGGCAGAAAACTAGTGGAGGGTTGTAACAAGGATTTGAAGAAAGAGTCACAAGATAAGGAACCCTATCAGGCCTAGAAGGTTCAAGGAAAACTCCCTCCAACATTTGTAATAGGTTAAGCACATACTTAAATTCCGAGTCTACTTTGCATTTGATTGCAGATGGTGAAGTCACAAGAGTTTGATTTGTATTTTCTGTTTCGTTCTTCTCAGTATGTGTTGTTATTTGGAGTGTTACTTCATCACTCATTGCTTATATTGTATTTCTATAATGTTTTAATGAATGCCTTCAACAAAGGGATTGTTTTGGTCATGTGACATGGGATTTAAGATGAAATTTGCCTATGTGAAAATAGGGCTGCAACTTGGGTAGGCTCAGGCTAAGCATTTACCATATTTTGAATGGGCCTAATCCTGACACACTGTAAATTCAAGTTGGGTACATGATTTGCATTCCTATTGGAAAGTGATGAGACAAAAGGTGATGCAAACACATTGCCAAATGGAGGATTAAGAAACATGATGCTTTTTATTCTTTTTTATTTGGCACATGCTATGCGGCTTTGGTCCCCATAAGGTCAGTTATGCTAGGCCCAGTTGACTGGGTTAGTGATGCAGGGATGCATGTATGTGCCCACTGCACTCACATTTATGATTCTGGGAGCATGCCCTTTTGTGGGTTTGAAGTTCGAACCTGCACCTCCTCAAATGGAGGGGTGTTGAGTGACCAACTGAACTACTTGGGCATGAGTACTGTCTGCTTTTTGTGCGCATATTATTCCTCCTCTATTTGTACACCCCCCCCCCCCCCCCCAAAAAAAAAAAAAAAAAAAAAACGTGTACTAAATTAATATTCCTGATTGTGTCTGGAAATAAACAATAAAACAAGTAACAGGCAATTGAAACCTGGCAAGTTATTGTTTGCAGGGTAACAACATCTGGAATTTGCGGGAACAAAATGCATCCTCCTTTAACATTACACAGGCATCCAATGTGTGCAGAAGTAAGTCCAACCTTCTTCCATGATCTTTTGCATTTTTACAAATTTTCGTGTAGTAATCATTATTTTATACGTTTTCCTAACTAAAAAATAAAAACAAAATGCTTCATGCTCTACAAATTCATGGGCCGATTTTGTCTGGCTATTGCCAAATCAAGGGTGAAAAAGTGGAAAGATCCGTGCTCAGATGTAGAGTGTTTGCTTGCAGGAGATCCGTGCTTAGATATTTACCACCCAGTTGCTCTGCCTTGGTGTTTGCAGATCATTGAAGAATTTCAGAAGTGCCATGCGGACCATCCTGTCAAAAAATTCTTTGGTGAGTGCACAGATCTCAAGATAAAGCTTGATCGCTGTTTCCGGCAAGAGGTGAGTTCCTCTTTTTGTGGATTTCCCCTTCTAAAGTATGTTGATCTCATGTTAATATATTCCATTTCTTGCACAGAAAGCTTTAAAGAGGAAGGCAAACTTTGAACAGAGTAAAAAGTTGAGGGAGAGACTACAAGCTTACAGGAAGGAGGATGCTGAGAAAATCTCGTAACGGTAACATGGTTGAAAGCTTTCAGCATTGAAATAACAATCCTTGTAGAAAGAAAGGGGCAGCTTCTAGTGTAACAGAAATTATGGTCTCCTAACCATGTTCAAGAAATATGCTGGGATTTTGGCCATTTCACGCTGTATTTTAAAAATTTAATACACTTGGTCAAGATAAAATTAGAGTGCAATTTCTTTGCCATCACGAGCATGAGCTCTTTGCATTTGATTTATGGAAGCGGCAATTGAGCTGTTAATATATTGGGTGTTTCCCTCATTTGCAACAATGGGGATTAAACTGCAATTCAACAAGCGGATGGGTCTTCGCACTTCGCAGATCCATGACCTGGGCCGAGTATACAGATACATCAGTTGGTTTTCTTCTCAAATACGATTTGGGTAATATGTTTAAATTGCAGCGCACAGCGCACTTTTTATATGTAGTACGTTTTTTTTTTTCAATGGAGATCTTGAAAACAACTTTCAGTGAGTCTATTTTTCCCTGGTTTTTTAAATCATGGTTCAAAACTTCAAATTCAGGTCTTGTTCCCAGAGAAAATACGTTTCTTGGCCTTTCGGGCTTGACACATTGGATCTCTGTGGAACTGTTGTTGCATACAATGTTTTAAAAAATGACCCAGAACTCAAATCGTTTTGGCCACTGGTTTTTAGATTAATGGTTCGATGATTTAGTTTGAACAGATGGTTTGTTCTGATGAAAAAAAATAAAAAATAGACAAAAGCCGTTGAACGGATTGATAGTTCAACTTTTTGGATCAATGGGTCATTATCTAATTCAATTATTTTTTTATCGGGGACCGAGTTTGAGATAAAACAGAACCAATTGTGTGGAAGATCAATAACGGTTCGAAAACCTTATTGCATAAAAGAGTCCGGCTTCATGCGTTAGCTTAAAGCGTGCGAAACGAATTAAACGGTTAAACGGAGTCTATCCTTTACGCCGTTAGCTTCTCCTTCGTTCCATTCCACTTCCCGCTGGTGCTCGAGACTCTGTCCAACTGGCGGCGACCAGAAAAGACCTCAAGTTTTCTGATTCGTTCATCATCGGCGATTATTTTACCGGGTAGATCGCTCGTTTAGCAATGCAATTCTATTATGGTAATCGATACTCCGCATCTCCACTACTATTCTATTACAATTTTTTTTGTTCCTGTTCGAAACATTGAATAGTTTTCTCTTTCTTTTAATTCATTCTTTGATTTTTTTTCTAAGTATCTGGTAAACGAAAAGGTATCAGGAGAACATTTGGTCAAGAAGTAAAACGAGGGAAGTATGAGCGGATGGATGTGTGTACATCGCTGACTGTGTGGAGAAAGTCACTCTAGTTCAGTTGTAATGGGTTTACGGTGATCGATTCTGACGGGAAGTTGGTTTTTAGGGTCGACAATTATATGGACAGTCATAGGGAAGAGATCCTCCTCATGGACGGCTCAGGCAACCCCTCCTTACCATGCGTCGCAAGGCCTCTCTGTCTCTCTCTGAATTCTTAATTTTTTTTTTTTCGTAAATCTTCTGAGCTTTAATTCGAATGTGATAGGTCATGTGTTTACAGGATTTTCTTCACCCAAAGATTCGTTTACGTGATTGAAGACTCCTACTGCCAAAGATCGTGCCAAGTACTAGATGAGTCGAAGAAGGTGATGGCAGAGATTAAGAGAAAGGAAGCCATGTCCCAAAGAGGAAGAGGAGGAATTTCCTTTTGTGTACGTCTTTCTTTTGATCGTACGAACCGACGATTTCAAGCGTGTCTTGCAATGTCCCTCGTTTTACTTCTTAACCACGAAGCCAATCCGCAGGTTCAACACATATCACTCGTAAATAGCTGACTTGGGCTCAAGAAGAGCCCCACAAAGCCAAACCACAAGTTCAATGTGTATTACTGGCAAATGGATAACTTGCAAATCACTAACCTAGGCTCGAGAGAAGTGTCAATGAAATCGAGAACTGAACCACAGGTTCAATGTGTACCGCCTCTGCCTCCGTTGACACCCCATTTTCTAGTTACTTTTTTCAAGAAGGCTATTTTAGTCATTTTAAACTAAAAAGGAAAAAAGTTATTTAGATTAGACTACTAAACAAAGTTGAACTTAAAATTGTGATTCTTTTGGTATCTCTTGCACCTAATTTTGAACTTAATATTGCCCATCCGATCGATCCAAGGCAGGTTGGTTGAGTCAATCATAGACCTCCATTTGGAATCTATTTATCTTAGACCAACCTAGAATTTATGTGGCATATTTGTTAGACAATGTATGTCTTTATCTCCGATTAGATTAATGTACACCGAGTTTTATGTGTTAATAAAATCAGTTCATTATTATTTTTATGTTCATATTGGTATGTCTGTGAATTACCCATTAAACTGAATACCTATGAGACTTATATTTGTTTAAAAAGTTTTTATCTATTGGATAAACCTGGAGAGTTTATCCTAACAATGTTGATATTAATGTGCTATCGAAATGATGGAACAGTCTGTCTCAGTTCCTGGGGTTAGACCCTAAATACAGTTAATGGGTGTTTGTAAGAAACACTAATGTGCTATTGCACCTTAGGTACCCATCACAACATACCTATTGCACCTTATGTACTGATCGTATCACATATGGCCATCATCGCACCTTAGGTACCCATCACAATGCACCCTTCATTGCACTTTCTATTTATCCTTTTCTCTCTCTTACATGTATGAGCACTCATAACAACACACTTTCATGGAAGTAGAATAAGAATAAAATTTATAAGATGGTCTGAAATCTATGTCATAGGCTTCTACTTCACCCAGTTTTCTAACAACAAATGTGTCCCAAGAATATGCTGGCTACTTATCATATTCAACTTTAATTGATCCTTATGGTTATGTCAACACAAGGTATCCAGAGGGAGATTTCTTAAACTACCCCCAAGTATTAGGAGGTGGATTGAAATACCCATTATTGTTTGCAAAATCCCTTAAAATATCCCTAGGGCTTTTGACAATGGACATGTTGCTAAACATTAATGGAAATATTGGAAATGTCTATTTTACCCTTCATTATTCTTTAGATTTTCAAATGTATGACATTCCTTCGATAGTGTCACAGTAGCAATGTTAAATCAAAACCCTCAATTTTTTAAAATGTCGATTGTACCCTTCATAATTCTTCAAAATTTTAAGAAATCTTTGCATACAACTCAACCCCCATTTTCTCTCTCCCATTTTCTTCTTCCCTCTCTTGTACACCCTGCTTGGTTGGAATTGAGCCAAATCATCTGTAGAGAAAAAATTCATGTTCTAACATTGTATTTTCGTTCATTTCTGGTCCAACCAATGAACTTGTATTACCTAAGTTTCTATGCAAATTAAAGAAGAGAAGATCATTATTGACAATAACCATGGTTCAGAAATCTAAACAGAACAACATTGTCATTGATTAATCGAATCTCGTGTTAATGAAATTTATCAAGTCATCCAATGCCTAGAAATTGGTGAAATTGGTTTGGACCAAGGTTCAAAGTATCGGAAACACATAGCATATCAGGAATGCAATTTTAAGATATGTATCGAGATACACCTTTGATACGAATGCGTATTGAGGAAAAATTAAGATATGAATAGATACACATGGATACACATAAAAACATTATAAAAACTTTAATATAATATAAAAATACATCAATAACACTAAATATAAGGCCTTATACAATAGATTAATATATTTTAATGGAGTTTATATGAAGAAACACATCATAATCATCATATGGGAACATTTATGCAATGTCTATTAAAATTATAACCACATCAATGTCTAATAATTCAATTCAACACATATAAAATTGTATTGGATTTATGGATATATCAACTTCTATTTTTTAATTAAATAGAAATCATAAAATTGTATAATCATGTGATTGATATGATCATATCATAGATTATATTAATTGCTTTTTTTATATAATTTTATATCTAGTTTTCAAATGTTCATTAAAACCCCTAAGTTAATTATAATTCCTAAAATTTAATTTTTAAAGGATGGGAAAAGTCTAATTGTATAAATATCCTATCCAACATTCCAACCATAAAGTATGCATTTATTATTTATTATTTAAATAGTACTATTTTTTAATACTAAGAATTATAAAATAATAAAAAATAACAAGTGAAGAAGAAATGTCAAATGATATATGAATATGATAGATTACCCATAGATCTGCAATATATTCAATCCTTATGCAAAAATAATTAATATTTATTATTTAATTTCAAAAATTACAAAAAATTCAAAAAAAATATTATACAAAAAATTTCAAATTTTTTATGGATATGATAGATCATCCATAGACTTCTAACATATTAGGTCCTTAAATGCAAATAAAAAAATATTTTTCAATTTTTTTGTTATTTTATATTTTTTCCAATTTTCTTCATTAAAAAAATCCATAGATATTCTCATATAATAAAAAAGTGTGATTTTTAACATGAGAAATATAGATCAACTAAGGTTAAAACACTTTCAAGCATTTAAACAAGAAAGAGAAAAAAAATCATAAGATTAAATGAAAAAATTTGAAAAATCTGACCTATTTTCGCAATATTTTCCAAAACTTCCCAAATCTTCAAGTTTGACACCTTTTTCTTGTGTATTTTTGCAAATTCAGCAATCTGGGAATGCCTCTGCAAGGAGTTCTGGGAATGCCTCTGCCTCATTTCAGTACATTAAGCTCACAATATGGTATAAAAAGGATGTCTTGTCCCATTTTATACCATATCCTATATCTGAACTTGAAAGATACGATACGATATATCCAATATATTGAAACTTTGAACCTTAATTTGGACAAAGGCTCACAAAAGGAAAGGAAGTTGGTTTAATTTCACACATTAAGTTAATATTCTCTACACAAATTAAACTTGCAAAAGTGCCGCATAGACCAGCTTCTGTTCAATTTTTTTTTTGTTTTTTTGTCTACTACATCTTTCGTTCCTTGTTTTTGTGCCTATGGTGAGAAGCCTTCTTTCCCCAATATTTCATTTTAACTTTTGCTCATTTCAGTACGATACGCTCATGATATGGTATAAAAAGGATGAGTTTTGGGAATGCCTCTGCCTCGTTCAGTATACGGTATGAAAAGGATGTGTTGTCTGATTTTATACCGTACCCTATATTTTAACTTAAAAGATACAATACGATATTGCCCTATATCGAGCATTTCATATTAAAATTTTGAACCTTGATTTGGACAAAGGCTCTCAAAAGGAAAGGAAGTTGGTTTAATTTCACACATCGAGTTAATATTCTCTCCACAACTTAAACTTGCAAAAGTGCATAGGCCACCTTTTATTTATTTTTATTTTTTTGTCTACTTCAAGCTTCCGTTCCTTGTTTTTGTGCCTATGGTGAGAAGCCTTTTTTCCCCAATATTTCATTTTAACTTTTGCCCGTTTCAGTACGATACGGCATGATACGGTATAAAAAGGACAAGTTCTAGGAATGCCTCTATCTCGTTCAGTGCGATATGGTATAAAAAGGACATATTTGATTTTATACCATACCCTATACCTTAACTTGAAAGATATGATATGGTATGCCCCATATCGGGCATATCGTATCGAAATTTTGAATTTTGGTTTGGTTTGAATAAAAGGCTCTCAAAAGGAAAGGAAGTCAGTTTAATTTCACACATCAAGTTAATATTTTCTCTCCACAACTTAAACTTGCAAAAGTGCTGCATAGATCATCTTCTGTTCATTTTTATTTATTTATTTTTTGTCTGCTGCAAGCTTTCGTTCCTTGTTTTTGTGCCAATGGTGAGCTTCTAGAAATACTGCAAAATGTAGGGCCTTCCACTTTTGGTGTAATTCTTCATTCATATCTAGATTCTGCTGAGATGGTTCCAGGATTGGCAAAACTTGGAGCATATCTTTTCCTTTTTCTGGGTTTCTTATGTTCATAAAGCCACAGGCAAAGAGGATGGTGAAGTAGGCACCTACTGAGGGGTTTTATTGGAGATGGAAGCACCTGATGCATTACTAAGATCGAATTTGGGCTCAGTGCTGTGGTATGAAGAAAAAAACACTTCTAATTTGCAAGATCCTCAAAACCATGAAGGAAGCACTGAATCACCCAGCTAATTTGTAATGTTCTAAGTTGCATCCTTGCTTGAGGTGGTGAAAGAACAATGGCGATTGATGATGGCTCTCTTTATTCGTGTTCAAAATACTAGAGTGAGAGAGGTGGTGGTGGTGACAGTTTAGATTGAACTTCGTCTCTATACTTGCAGTGTTAAGTCTCTAGTTTGGTGGTAAAGAAAGGTAAAATTGGGTTTTTCAAAAAGTTAAAGTCACGTGCATCACATGTGACCAAAATGTGACGGTGTGCTAACGATAGGGGCAGAGTTAATCAATTGTTAGAAATAAGTCTATATAAGGGAGGTGTTCCCAATACATGCTAAGATGTGCTGTGGGGAACCTGTGGGGTGCACTCTTTGGGAAACCAATTTGGACTCACAGCAAACATGAATGTACCAAATCCTTATCCAGGTTTTTAACCTATTGGAGATACAGTCCAATGGTGAAAGTCTTCTCAATGAAATTGATGGAGATAGAGATGGGGCCTATGTGAAATTTTAGAGGGAAGAGAGAGAGAGAGTAGGTTAAAGAGAAGGGTATTTTTAAGATTTTAAAATTTTTTGAAGAGCACATAACATCATGTGCTCAAGATAACCAGTGGAATACTAACTGACTTAAGTGTCACTACCCCCAAAGGTTCAAATCAATGTTACGCGCCCTTCGACCCTTTTAAGTGTCACTACCCAAAGTACAGGTAAAAAAATGGTGACAGTATATCTCACTGAAGAACGCAAATACTGCTGAGAGTACAATTAGAGTCCGGATCTCCTGTCCACGAGAACTCTGCCCACACTTATCGCAGACACACATGAAGAACATTTCATCCTCTGCATAGTATTATGCAGGGGGAGATGTTCCAAATTCACAGGGGGTAGTGTATTGTGAGTAGGCGTGGGCAGAGTTCTTGTGGGCAGGAGATCCAGAGTCGTAGAATTAATCACCCATTAATACTGGCGCATTCCAATATCATGTGTATCCCAAGCAAAATTTAAAGCTTAAAATGACTTATCAAGTTTTCAAGTCAACTTCCAATCACAAGACAGGAAAACAATGCAATCTAATTGATTTGCAAAATTAAGAGTTTTCCACATTAAGCAAGGGCATGGAAAAATCAGTCTTATCTCTACTCTGTTTAAATTGTATCCAGGAATGGTGTTACATCCATAATCTAAACTTGTTAATGTTAAGCATCTCTATTTGCGCATTTTGGGCGCTGATATGGTTTCCTTCCGCCACACTTCAAAATTCACTAGTAACAACTCCACATCACCTGCAATTTAAGAAAGAAAAAAAATGCTTGTACAATCAGTCTGTTTTTGTCCCTCTAACCAAAACAGATTTTTAGGCCCCGTTTGTTTTTCGGCAAGTTACTTATCCGAGTAAAGCAATTACCTCGGTAAGTTTTTCTTAGGAAACACTTACCGAGTAAGTGCATTTACCCATGTTCTTTTATTTCCCAGGTAAATAAGGCAATGACCATTTTAGCTATATAAATCTATTATTAAAAGGGACATTTTTGTCCCATTCAAATATTGGCAACTTCCCTCCAAGTGGGAAAATTATTTAACCACCTAGGAGAGGTAAATGATACCCAAAAAAATAAACTTTCCCTGGTCTACACATAAATATGAAAAAAGAACATGAGGTTCCTGATCAATGGGAGCCAAAATCTCATTGACCAACCTTCCCCCCTCTCAAAATCCAAAAAAGAATGCCCCCTTAGAGAAAAAGAGAAAAAAAAAATTATCTAGACATGCAGTGATAATTGATTAGGGCACATCCTGTTTTTGATAAATGGGGCATATCACTACTAAAAGACAAAAAAAAACACCATTGGGAGGGCTTGGGCTGGGATTTTGTTAAAATTTGAATGGAGTAAGCCTACAAGTCCAAGCCCACACGGTAAATGTTAACTTGGGTGAACTCAAGTTGCACCCATAGTTATGTTTGGTACCAACTAGGGATTTTTTCTACTTGAAACAAATTTGTGAGAGATTTTTCTACTTGAAACGTTTTAGATTGATCAATAGAAGTTGTTGTTTCTACCTGAAACATCAAATTTGACATTCCAATCATAATCGTCAATGATCACTCCCACATGCATTGTTCTAGTTGAAGTGTCCCTCACATGTGATGTGACAACACATACTTCTCACCAATTTGTGATAGAAACAGAAATGGTACCAAACACAACTGTAGAAGTCAAAACATGGGGGAATTTTGTCTTCAAAACATGTACACTTCCATGTTGGACTTTGGGATTTGGGCTTAGCTTTACACTGTTTCAAGTTTGGGCTTCAGGCTGGGCCCGTTCATACGAGCCAAAAGCTAAGCCCGAGCCTAGCCCATGAACAGGTCAGGTAATGATTAGGGGTGCTCCCTTCATCAAAAGTGGGATGCGGCCAAATAGCTCCCCATTATAAAAGGTTGCATACAAAATTACAACAACAAATTCCTTGTTGAAGCTAAATTATGTAATGAAAGTATATTCATCCATAAATAAGATTTGTAAGATCAAAATGAAGCCCACCCTTCATCAAAAGTGGGATGCGGCCAAATAGCTCCCCATTATAAAAGGTTGCATACAAAATTACAACAACAAATTCCTTGTTGAAGCTAAATTATGTAATGAAAGTATATTCATCCATAAATAAGATTTGTAAGATCAAAATGAAGCCCACCCTTCATCAAAAGTGGGATGCGGCCAAATAGCTCCCCATTATAAAAGGTTGCATACAAAATTACAACAACAAATTCCTTGTTGAAGCTAAATTATGTAATGAAAGTATATTCATCCATAAATAAGATTTGTAAGATCAAAATGAAGCCCATGTAGCACGAAACCACCAACAACTCAAAACTATAGTAAATGTAAATCACATACCAGTCAAATGGAAGAATGAGACCGTCAGAAACTTACAACCATAGCACTCGAATTTTTCCTTTATTCTTGAAAAAAGTGGTGTATTTCGTTGTATAAATCAAAAGCCTGTGTAAAAGGGGATTGTGTACAATGGGATGTACAAGTATTCTGGTATTCTATATTGTCTGCATACAATTTTCCAAAGACCAAAACCCAACTATATTCTCATCCAAAAGATTCCTTGAACCAAAAAACCCAACTATATTCTCATCCAAAAGATTCCTTGAACCAAAACTCCAACATATTTTAGGCTGCATTTGGCATTCTTTATTTTAAGGGCTTAATCGTCTTTTTGCAGTTAAAAACTCAATGGTTATAAAAGCATTTTAACTGCAAAAAGGCGACAAGTCCTTAAAATAAGGAATGTCGAATGCAGCCTTCCAAGTCCCAACTTAACAGCAATGATTCCAACTTTCTAGAAAGCGATCCCTCGTGCAATGAATAAAAAGGTGATCAGGAATTTCCTTTTCCAGTCCATACATAACACACAAAAGATATTTTTAAAAATATCTTTTATTAAGATGAATGAATGAACAACATTAACAAATAGGAGGTCCTTGGAGCTTCATTGAGCAAACAAACTTCAAAAAGAATAAAAAAGCACAAAGTTTTGAAAAGGTGTGTGCCTGAACTGAGGCACAAGGCATTCTAGACGTACATCTTTTCAAAGGGGGGTGCTCCTGGGCTTAGGTGAGGCACATACCTTAAAATGCACCTTTCCTTAAGTTAACATTTCTCTGCCATCTGAATTCCTCTTCCTTTAATATGATCTTTAAGTGAGAACACTGTATAAGGTCAACAACCATGTGAATGCTTCTATTCTAGGAGGTATAGGATTTCCCAAAACTCTGATATCAGATTTCTCCACCTGGTTTCTTGCCAAAGCATTATAAAATGATTTAACTGAAAACACACCGTTCCTGCTCTACTTTTTTTTTTGACAAGTAAAAGATCTTTAAATTTCATTGAGATCAATCATGATAGGCACTGTTACAAGCATCCCAAATGGAGGCGCAAGATGCAGCCTCACTATTAAATCAAAGCTAGCATTGTAATTACAATTGTGTCCAATACAACTGATCCCTAATTACCCCTTGTTTTGCTAAAGAATCAACCAATGCATTTTCCACCCATTGTATACTTAGATTCATCTGTTGTGTTAATCACTGGAACTTCTTCATTTCATTTCTATAACACCAAATCACTGAATCTAGATTTCTTAGCCAATCTACCACCACCTTGGAGTCCCCTTCAATCACCAGGTTCTCCAAATTCATATCTTTTGCAATTTGAACACCTTGTAAAACAGCAAACAGTTCAGCCTTTAAAGAATCTCCAACCCCCACCGGTCCTGAAGAAAGTGCTAGTATAAACCCTTCCCTTATCTCTAATGACTCTTCCAATTCCCAAAGGACCTAGGTTGCCTTGACTGCTCCAATCAAAGTTTAATTTCAAAAGACCTACAAGAGGAGGTGCCCACACGGACCTTGTTTCAATCTTTTGCGTTGAGCTGGATGCCACTGAAACCCAGTTCCTCCAAATATCATCAAAAGAGAACTGTTTAAATAAATCTAGAGTTAATAGCCAATGTACAACCTTGGTCATTATACAATCCAAAATCTGTTGTTTGCTCCTCTCCTTTTCTTGAAAGATTCTTGCATTTCTTTCTTCCCATAAGGTTCAAATCACTGTTATTCTAGTGCATCTCCACATTATTCTTCCCCTTCTTTTTGGCCAAGCAAAGGTAATCTCCATTGGCATGTTCCACCTGCACCCAAATAGAGGGAAAAACCAATCCCAAATATCTATAGCAAAGGAATAGGAAATTAGTAAATGGTAACAAGATTCACCATCAAATTTGCATAGAGTACACTAGTTCGGGGAAATACACAAGAAAGGCCTTTTCTTTTGTAGATAGTCTAGTGCTAATCTTCCCATAAACCACTTCCCAACAAAAAGCCTTAAACTTGGGGGGAGTTGGTTGACACCAAACTTCCTTAGCAGGAAAAGAAAGAAGGGTAGGAGATTGGCAAAGAGCAAGAAAAAAAGAGGCACAGGAAAATAAACCTTTAGAACATGGACACCAAACTCTTCTATCTAGATTAGAAGGCTCTAAATAGACTTTATCAAGAAGAAATAAAAGCTCTGACAAGCAAGTGACCTCTTCATCCCTCAATCCCCTTCGAAACCCAAAATCCCAATTATGATTCGAAGGCAAAATAGGAGGTATTAAAAACTTTGAAGTCATCTCATTTTTTATACAAGGAAAGGGAATGCAAAGAAGGAAATAAGTCTATTAAAGGTCGGTTACCAACCCACAAGTCTTCCCAAAACCGGATTAAAGTCCCTAAACAAACACCATACCTGACAAACCTAAGGAACTGATGGAAAAAGCTATGGATTGTTTTCCAAGGTGCTGCCAAAGTAGTCTGATGTGATACACCAACATCCCAACCATTCTCCAACCTCCGATGAATACTGCCCACCATTCTCCATAACTACTTCCCTAACAAAGCCAAATTCTTCTTTCAAACATTCCCTATACCTAAACCACCTTCTTTCTTACTTCTATATACAATCTCCCATTTGATTAGGTGGTCTCTTCTAGCCTCACTCAGCTCCCAAAGGAAATCCCTCATGATTTTCTCTAATTTCTTTTCTTCTCTTGGTGGAATTCTAAAGACAGAGAAAAAATTGGTAGGTCAGCCAAGCCTGATCTTCTTAGGGTAATCCTACCTCCTAAGGAAATATAGTTTCTCTTCCAAGCAGCCAGTCTCCTTTCACATCTCTCTATAAGTGGGTTCCAAAATCTGCTCTCCTTAGGATTGGCACCTAAAGGATGACCCAAGTAGGTAAAAGGCCAAAGGGTTATAGGACACTCTAAGCACTCCACTACCGCACTTAATGTATTCTCTTCCAAATTAATCCATGTTAGGCAACTCTTGTCTAAATTTATTTTCAAATTTGAGATCCTTTTAAACTTCTTGATCAGTTCTTTTAAATTCCTCACCTTCCTAGTATTTCCCCCTTCATAAAAAATTATGATATCATCTACAAACTGAAGGTGAGCAAGTGGAATATTGTTTCTCCCAACTCTCCAACCTCTAATCTCCTCTTCCTTGTCAGCCTTAGAGAGAGGATCACCTTGCCTTAATACAAGCTGGGAAGAAGTGTTTCACCACTCCATTAACAAGAATAGAATAGTGACAAGATTGAATACAAACAAACACCCAATTGCACCATCTCTCCCCAAATCCATGCTTTTGCATCACCTCTATTAGAAAGTTGCAGTCCACCTGCTCTCATCACTTCTATCCACTTGGATTTCCAATGACTAGACTTTAGACAAAACGCCCAAACACTACTTAATCTCCCAATCAAAAAGAGGGCACCTAAATTAGATCTTGGGGACCAGACCACTCTTCTTTGGTTCACACTATAGCAATCAGCAATAAAGACATTTTACTTGCTGAGCCTATACAATCTTGGACATAGATCACAAAACCTATCAACATCTAACCAATCGTCCTCCCAGAATCTAATGTTCCTTCCATCTCCTACCTTAAAATGAGACAAAGTTCAAAAATGTCGATTGAAAAACTCATGATTCCCTTCCACACATAAACCCCATAAGATGCTTTAACTTCTTTTTTGTTCCACTCAAATTCCGTTACCCCATACTTAAAAAGCCACCACCCTTCTCCAAAAAGAGTTTCTTTCATCTCCAAATCTTCATAGTCATTTCCCCAAAAGAGCCTTGTTAAAAAATCTTATCCTTCTTATCCCAAGTCAACCATCTTTCTTATCCCTACACATCCAATCCCATCTTACACCCTCATCTTCCACCTAGCCCTAAAAACATTGATGCCAATTTACATCCTTTCTGCTAACCCATCTGCCATTCCATTAGCTATCCTTTAAATCCATTTTGCATTGATGACCCTATCTTTTTTTAGCTCTTTCCTTCATGGCATTCCTGTACCGTCTTGTTACCACTGTTGAATCACTTATCATATCAATATTTCTATAGTTTAGGGTTTTAGCTAATTTCAATCCTTGTAAAGCTGTTGATAACTCTGTTGTAGCAAGGTTTTCTTGACCTATCACTCTTGAATATAAGGCTAATATCTTCCCATATAAAAAATGGAACAATTTGAATCTTAGTTAAACCTCTACCTGCTTCTGCCTTTAGACAATCAATTATTCTCCATCAATATCAATTTTCAATAGGATAGTAATACTAATAAAACATGATGCTTGGTTTGAATTTTCAAAATAATTCTTCAGAGGAAGCTTATATATGCTTAAGCTAATGTGTCCAAAGAAAAGAATGATCAATACTATAAGGCTTATGCCACTCCACTTTCTCAGAGAATGTTTTGCATGTGACAAGTTGATTTTACTATTACCTTTGTTTTGGGAGTGTCAACTTAACTTTTTTAAGCTGTGCTTGGATTTCGTTAGGAGGGGTGATGGAAAATCAGGATAGGTAGGCTTCTCAAACAGGTTATACTTCCATTTTCTTCCATTTGGCTATAAACAGTGAGTCATGCAAAATTTGGAAGATGACAGACTTTTCTGTAAATAGAAAACTTAACAAGTTCAAAATAACAACTAATCTTCCTAACAGTAATAATCGAGAAGCCAATTCAGTACTCGTCAAAATTCACAAATACAAGCAATTGCCTTTAATTTCTCTTACATTTTTAAATTATGACTCGCAGAGAAACTAAAAAACATAAAATGGAAAGAACAGGTGCAATATTGTGAGTTTCGAAAATTACCTAACCAGATCCAACAATGATGTTGTTGATGGGTATGAAAATGAGCTTAACGAAGAAACCGACGAATCCCATAACAACAAATCCAATAGCCGTACGGAAAGCAACTTTAGTGAATTCTACATAAAGATTCCCAACAATCGAGAACTAGAATTAATCGTAAAGAAGGGGGAAAAAAGTAAACGAATATGCAAATAACTCCAATTTGGCATAAGACCCAAAGGAATGAAATCAGTAGTAAGAAAGATCGGATTCAGAAAGAAAAGTTAGGGAGGAATGGATGGATGTACCTTTGCGATCTGGTTTGTGACACCTCTTGACAAGCCTAACGCTGTCCTTTGCGAACTCCCTCAATGGATCGATGGCGGAATCTATGGCATCCATTGCTTTCTTTCAAGAAAAGGAACTGATTCCAACAGAAGAACCGATTCGGAAGCGATCCCAGGAGAAAGAGAATCACCTGCAACTGCAAGGTGATTAGGTGAGCCACCCATGGTCTAACGTGGCCAAATTAGTTGCCACGTGGCAATGGTGCCTTCGCGGGCCACATCCCCAAAAGTCAAAAAGTGAAAACCTTTGCCCCAGAAAGTTGATAAAAATCGAATATCTAAATCTAATTTCTGATTTCTCTCGCCAAGGCCTCCCTTACCTCGCCCTCCACCTCTTTCATGCATGTTAGAGGCATTCCGTTGGACGTAAATGTTCTGTGTAGCTCTTTAGCTGCTTCATCTTCGATCAAGATGCTGAGATTTGGTAAACAGATACATGCCCATCTATGAAAATCAGCTGGTCCTCTAGTGTCTATGTAGGTACTGCTTCGGTTGATTGGTATGTGAAATCGTCCATTATAAATGATGCATGGAATGTATTTGTTGAAATCCCACTGAAGAATACTGTCTGTGTATGTGTATGTGAATGCTCTTTTATCGGGTTATGCAGAAGCTCAGTTGTGGAGTGAGGGACCTGAATTGGTGCAGAGGATGCAAATGTATGGGTTGGATTATGATCACTTCACATTGTCAGCATTGCTGCGTGTATGCACTGGACTAGCAGCAATTGAATTGGGTAGTCAAGTGCATGCTAATATGATCTGTAGAACTTCATATTTGGAAAGGGATGTGTTTCTACAGAGTTCACTGGTTGAGATGTACGGGAGATGTGGGCTAGTTGAGAAAGCACGACATCTGTTTGATTTGGTTGGGATTAGACAAGAAGGAAATGAAGAGGGAAAAAGAGATGTTTTTCTGTGGACTCCATATGGTAAAAATGGGCGGTTTTGTGGTTGGTAATATCTGCCTGTGGTCATACTGGGCAAGTGAGCCTTGGGATTGAGTATTTCAAGTCGATGGATCGTGACTTCAGGTTGGAACCTGGTCCAAAGCATTATAGTCCTGTAGTTGACTTGCTTTGCAGGGCAAGCGAATTAGAGATGGCATGGAATTTAGCAAGTAAGAATGCTAGTAATATCATTTCTTTGTGGGTGGCATTGCTTAGTGCTTGCAACAATTTTGGGAACATTGAACTGGGCAACTTGGTTGCTCAAAAGGCGCTTGAATTAGATCCTCAAAATTCTGGAATTTATGTTTTGTTGTCCAATCTGTATGCTAGGTTTGGCATATGGAATGAGATTGAGAAATTGAGGGAGTTGATGAAGGAAAAAAGGATTGAACAAAAATGTAGGATGCAGTAGGATAGAGGTCAAAAGTTGAATTATAGTGAACTTCTTCCCTGTATTTTCCTTAATATTTTTTGGGTAAGGTTCTAGTGTTGTGAATTCATTTTTTCTATGTCATCAGTGGGAGTTGAGCCAGCACTAAAACTTTTTCCAAACTCTCTTGATCATGAATCCTAATTTGTCTTATAAAAAGGAATGGTAAAACAGGATTCATGCAGTCAATCCCATATGATTGGGACAAGGCTCTGATGTTGATGATAATGATTAATAGAATCTAAGAAGAAATTTATGGGCTAAACAAATCCTTGTTTTCAACCCGTCATCGACTGACTCACATCTCAGTCAGCACAACAGATGCTGGAGTCTCTTTCACAGTCTGCTTCAAATGTAAGAATACCTTGATGAAGGAGCCAAATGGAGTCAGTTATGGGGTTATATGAGTTCTCTCCCCTGGTCTTGATCTTTATATGGAAATATTTACAGGATATTTTGCCTTTGAGAAAGGTATTTATCTTCCTAGTGCAGTAATATAGACCTGCCCTACCCTTTATGTGGTTTGTTTGATGAAACTTATGAGCATCTCTTCTTTCTTTGAACAAACAAAAAGTGTTCTTGCAAGTGATCAACTATGCACAAGCTCAGATTGATCTTGTGGTCTTTCTTGCAAGAGTTCAACCATGCACAAGCTCAGATTGATCTTGTAATCAACTAAGTACTGGAAAGCACATAGAGAGAAACTCAGTTCATAGTTTGAATGTGGGAGTATTATTCCTAGATGGGGTAAGCCACCTGGTGATGTGGTGAAGATTAATATTGATGGTGCATGGTCCAAAGGAAAAGCCGGAGTAGGAATTGTGATTTGAGACAAGCATGATCATTTTATATTTGCTTGAGTGGTAACAGTGCTAGCACCCAATGCTTTGGCTGTGGAGGCTTGTGCTTGTTTTAAAACTCTTCAGTTTAAAGTTTACCTTGAAGGCAACACATGATCATTATTACACTTCTGTTATAGTTTGAATCCCGAGCTCCTTGGAGTATTCACACAGGTTCAGTTTGAAAAAAATACAAATACAAATGTGTACAGTGCAAATACGTATAAAATAATATAAAATACATAGTTTTGCACTTTACATACTTGTATTTCTCTGTACTCCTGCTTAGTTTGGAAGGAGTGCTAATGCAAATATGTAGAGTGCAAAATCTTGTATTTTGTATTATTTTGTACGTATTTATACTGTACATATTGGTATTTGTACTCTTTTCAAACTGAGCCAAAGTTCAAATATCTATAAATATCAATCCATACACTATTCTTTTTAGATTTGAAAATCTAATAGTGAAGATGCCACAATCAAAATAATCAAATTCTTGCAGTACAGCAGTGACCATGGAAATAGATGTACAACACGCTACTTCGAATCTTGTTTGATTGTTTTTGAACCGTTGTTGATCTAGATGGTCAGACCGTTCGACTTCAGAACCATTCAGTTCATTTCCACCCTTTAACCTGTTATTTGGATAAAAACCATTGACTTGATTAGCAACCCATTGATTCATTTGACCATTTTTTTATTTTATTTTATTTTTTTAATTTGAAATGGGCCATCCATTCGAACTGGACGATTGAATCATTGACACAAAAACTGGTGGCCAAAGCAGTTCCAGTTTTAGATTGACTTTTAAAACATTACAAGAAAACAGAAAGTCTTAAACAAATTTATATGATTTGTCAAGAACTTGAGTCCATTACAAAGGGACCAGGTCCAATCCAATCCATTAAATATTTTGGACCAGTCCAATTCAATGTCTGGACCGTTCAATCTGTTCAAATTTGTTTTAATTTATATTGGTTTCAACTCAAACTTGGTCCATTGATATCAATGGACCAGATATTGGCTTAATTCAGCCCAATCGAATATAAATTTATTACAGACGGACCAGGTCAAATCCAATCTAAAAAATATTTTGGACTAAATTGATCGAATTCAATATGCCTTATTGGTCCGTCCAATCCATACAAATTGATTTTGTACTGGACGAGGTCCAATCCAAAACCGGTCCATTGACACCCTTACTTGAATCCACCAATCAATCGATAATGGATATCATCGAGTCGGTAACCAAACAACTGAAATTCATTCAAATTCTGGTGGAAAGATTGGTGGAACTTTTTCCGGTTCTATTTCCATATGTACCTTTCCGATATGGGAAAACCCTTCAGATATCATATATTCTCCCTATCACAGTCGAACCCTTCCGATATTATAGAAATTGCCTAAGAACTTTTCCTCGCAACTTGTATTCCTCTCTTATTTTCTACGAGACAATTCAAACCAAACATAGATTCCTTTTGCACGGTTGAGAAACACTAATCCAGGAAACAATCATCCTGACCGTTCAAGAGGGATGCAAAGAAATGCTCTTTAAAAGCGAATCATGAATCATGATCCAGGCCCAAAAGCAACCTAATATGCATCATAACTCCAGGCCCAAAAGCAACCTAATATGCATCATAAATCCAGGCCCATAAGCAACCAAATATGCATAAATCCCTTGCTAGATTCCTTAGCGCCAAGATGCTATGCTTATCTATTTAGAGTTCCACAAGAATAAGCAAGTCCAAGAAAACAGAGAACCAGGCGTTAGAATAAATGGGATGCTCATGCTCTGCTTATAAACCATCAGAATAAGAGAATAAGAGATTCAGCAGGGGAAAGGAATTGTAACAGAAATGAAGAACAAATTAATGGACTCTGCGCCATCAACCCAACAGGTAAATTTGTCTTCTCTTTTGTAATTCCTACTGTAAGTGATTGGTGATGTAGCTTGGTTTTGTTGAATTCTATCGGGTGGTTTTTCTTTTCTGTGTTGGAAATTTGGAAGAGTTGTTGCATGGAAGTGCAGAGACTGGAATGCTCACCGGTAACTGTTTCCTGTAATGCATCAAATAAAGTTACCATTTCCGGTAAGCTATCTTTTCTAATTTCTTTTTATCATGTAATCTGGATTTGCTACTCACAAAAGGCACCTCACACCGACCTCACAGCCCTATCGTCCCACCGTGTATTATGAAATAGAAACATCTTCCATTAATAACATAAAGTACGGGAGATGTTTCCGATAGATGTGCAGCTGGAACAGATTGTAAGGTTTTGCTTGTACTCCCTATAAGCAAAACCTCTATATGCACTGTGAAAATATGAGAATCCAGCCACACACTAGAAACATCTGTCATTGAATTTAAGATATGTGCAAAAGATATTTCCAATGTGCAGTTGGATGTTATGTGAGTAGAGTTTTCTTGTATTTATACAAGTACAAATACCACAGGCCACACAAAAGGAACATTGTATGTAGGACCCATTTGGACACAATTTTGCTCCACAACTAAACCTCTCTCTCTCTCTACTACACCACCCAATTTTCCTCCCAAAGTATTTGTACATGCAAACAGTCACTAATATATCTAATTAAAATATTTATATTATATTATAAATATAAGTAGGAGGGTCAACCATATTCAAAAATTTGATTTTGAATTTGAGATTCAAGATAATCAAATCGAATTCGGATATAACCTGATTCAATTTGATAAATATTTGATTTCGACCGATAATTTAATTCTTATGTATAGTATATAAAATATATAAAATATTTAAATATTTTATAATATATATATATATATACAATATTTTGATTATATAAATAAATAATTTATTTATATACTATATATAAATAAAATATTTATTTTCTATATTTATTAGTTATCTAAAATAATTAATCAGTTGAATTAGAATCAAATAAAATATTTGAATATTTTATTGAATTCGGATATCAAATTTTCTAATTGGACTCGAATTTTGGTATTGCCTAATTCAATTCGAATTCAATCCATTTACACATCCCTAAATATAAGGGCTTGACTTTGATACTAGAAAGACATAATACCAAAAAAATATTTATAACCAATCAACCGGTACCATAAAAGATCAAATTCATAGGGGGCGAAGTGGATTGGTCAAAGCCCTTCGGTGAAGCATTATAATGGATATGACATTAAATATCTTCTTTTATATAATGTAAAAGAAAAACTGGTGAAGCATTATATCTTCTTTTCTCTTTTCATTTTATGTATAGGAAGAAGAAGTGAGTCTTTGCAAGTTAAAAGAAAAGGAAGTGCTTATAATTTATTAATGGATATGACATTAAATAAAAACGGTGAAATAGGATTCAAGAAGCAGACCCATATGGTTGGGATAAGGCTTGAATAATGATGATTTTTATTAAAATGAATCTTCTAAAATGGAATTATCCATTGATAGAAGTGAAGCATAAGCAAAGAATATGAAAATCGAAATGGAAAGACGACTTGAATGAGAGAAATCAATGTACTATTTACTTCAAATCAAAGTTAAAGATAATACAGAGGAGACACTTTGGAGAAATTAATGTACCATTTACTTCAAGCTGATGATATTTTGTCTGACGGGCTCAGATCTGCTACCCACTAGTTATTCCCACATCCTTATTCACGAGTAATTAATAAGTAATAACAGTTGTGCATTGGAAACATCTCCCTTATTATTCATGGGAGATATTCCCAATACATAGTGGTGGTGTTCTATATACGGGTATGGATGTGTGAACAATTTGTAGGTAACAGATCGAGAGTGCCCGATAATGAAATATTAAGCTTAAGATGACTGTTGGTCGTAATGAAATATTCCCAGGCTTGGCCCATTTAATAAATGGGCCTTAAATAATGGGCTAGGAAATCTAAAACTGAATGGGAAAAGGATTTTTTTTTTTTTCATGATCGAGATGGGGATCCCAATGGGTCTTCTCCCATGAAAATCTTCATGTTTCAATCACCACATCTTATCTTGTATTTCTCTAATATCTGCAGCAGAAGACAAGCGCCAAAAGAAAGATTCAAGCAGGATCACAGAGGGAATGACAGCGTATGAGATGCTTGAGAAGTTCAATTTTCCAAAAGGAATGCTCCCACGAGGTGTGAAGGGATATGTACTTCATGAAGATAACAGATTTGAGGTATTCCTGGATGGGGACTGTAAGTTTGAGGTTGAAGGAGGATATTCTTTATATTACAAGAGAAGGATCACAGGAAGAGTTGGGTTTGGATCACTAAAGGATTTGGAAGGTGTTAGTGTAAAGTATTTCTTTATATGGTTTGGCATCACAGAGGTGAACAGAGGAGATGTAAATTTGGATTTTTATGTAGGACCCATGTCTGCATCTTTTCCACTCTCAAATTTTGAATAACCATGGTATCAAATATTGAAGAGAGAACATTCTTCTCTTTACAAAATTCTTTATCAACTGTATATGTTGAAGTTACATTTATATATCAAAAATATGTTGTGGAGAAAATATAAACATCTCCTTTTTGTGTAATGGTCTTGTTATTCTATGAACTAATTCATGAGTCATGTTTTTCTATCAAGAGGCTACTACCTGCCTCTAATTTTGAGAGGCTTACGCCTCACCCCCTTGTGCCTCAAGTTGGTGAGGTGTAAGCTTCGTATAAAAAGCAATAAAACAAAATGATTATTTAGTTATTACAAATAAAATAAACCAATCTATACTAAAAAACTTTACATAATGCTTCTTTTAAACCAAAAATATGTCATTTGTTTTTTTCTTACTGAAACACATTGGAATAGGGTTTTTTTTTCAAATTTAATTACAATGACCAAAAATACCCTTGTTTACTAGTTTTAATTCTTCATCATTTATAAATTAAATTATATTGAAAAAAAGATCTAAAAAATATATATATTAAACAAAGCTATTTTTATTTAGTAGAAAAGGGTTATAAATGTAAAATAAAATTTAAAAAAGAATCACATTAAAAAGAACATAAATTAATAAAGATAAATATATAAATTAACTATGAAAGAAAAAATATATTTGAAAAATATATGAGGAAATATTTGAAAAACAAAGCTATATATATATATATATATAATTCAGGCAAACTATTACCATAAAGATATGATTAATTTTAAGAAAAAAATGAATATAAATATAAAAATTGCTTTAAAATAAATATATTTTACCCTTAATGCATAAAATATTACAAATAATTTTGGTATGCATGTCGATATTTACTAATTTAGAGAAAAAATAAAATTTTAAAGAAAAAAAACATAAGGCTCATATTGAAAAATTGCGCATGTACTAAAAAGAAAATATGTAAGTTGGCTATAAAAGTGAAGTAAATTGTGTCTATATACTTAAATATGTACAAACATTATACTTATATACATAAATTTAAAAATTATATTTATACTTTGAGGCTTGTGCCTCAAACCGCCTCAAGGCTTACACCTCTTGCCTCTTCAATACCCAACCACCTCACCTCCATCTTTAGCCTTTTAAAACCTTGTGCTACGTTACATACTTAAATTCTTTCTCTAATTGAGTTCCTCCAACTTTCCCCATACTTAAACATAGAATCTGTTAGAAATCTTGTATTGTTTAATAATGGTATTTACGTCATTTCATATGTGTAGAGACAAAATTGCATAGATTTCACATATGCAAGGGTGTTATTGTAATTCTACTATATAAGTCATTGAGAAATAAGTGTTTTAGGGGCTTGGGAGAAGCATACTGAACCTTTCTCTTCTTTCTCCATTTCTTTTCCTCTTCACCTTTAACCCCTAACATCTCACATTGTGTGTAACTTTTGATTAACCAAATTACCCTTACTTTTGAGTTTGGTCCTTCTCTAATTGTGAGGTTAGAAATGTAATTTAAACAACTACTTTTCACCTCATCCAATTCTTATTAATTTAAGGCTTAGGTATCAACTACCAGTGTCTTTCATTGAATCTTTTTTTTACCAAATTACCCCTATTTTTGAATTTGGTCTCTCTTTAATTGTGAAGGTAGAAAATTCAATTTGAATGGATGCTTTTACTCCATTCAATTCCCTATCATTAATTAATATATTTATGGTATTAATTATTCTAATTCTCTCTCATTGAATCCTATATTTTAGCTATTTTTTCTTACAATAAATCATATCAATTAAATCTATATCCAATACTTCTAACAATAGAAAACCCATGCTTTACTAAACCAGCCCAAAAATAAAACTATTCTTTCTTGGTGGCATGTAAGTAATTCAGCCATTTAGGTCAAATGGGTCAACCCATGATGTCATAATTAAATAATAAAACTTTTCAAATATAAATAAATATAAAAAATTACAAGAAAAGTAAAATTTGTAGAAAAAATGAGTATATCTCTAATATTTTATATTAAAAATATGAAAGAAAAATAAGTGTGATAAATAATAAGTGTTTTTATTAATGTTGAAAATGAAATACAAAATATAAAACTTACACAAAATGAAATTGTTTTCCTATTCATGGTGGGTCAACAATTCAACCTTTTGGGTTAAATGTGTTAGTACCCTTGATGTCTGAATTAAATAATAAAAGTTAAAATAAAAAAGATAAAACCTCAAAAGATGAAACAAACACAAAAATTCACTAATACTTTATATTATTCATATTAAAGAAAAATAAGTGTGATAAATAAGATCTATTTTTATTGATGATGGAAATGGAATGCAAAATTTAAAACCAGCCAAAAAATGAAATTATTTCCTATTATTGGAAAGTTAATAGTTTATCCTTTTGATGAAACAAATACAAAAATTCACTAATACTTTATATTATTCGTATTAAAGAAAAATAAGTGTGATAAATAAGATCTACATTTATTGATGATGGAAATGGAATACAAAATTTAAAATCAGCCAAAAAATGAAATTATTTCTTATTATTGGAAAGTTAACAGTTTATCCTTTTGGGTCAAATGTTCCAACCCTCGACATGTCATCCTTGTGGTCATCAACAGTTTGAGGACCTTCTATTGTGCATAACGATTCTTCTCCTCATACATGACTTTTAGACTATTTAGGATATCTTTGCAAATATCAATTTTGTCGAACTATCTCTAGATAGAATTATCCAGTGAAGCTATGATGTAACACCGAGTAAGTGAGTTCTTCTCTTCCCATTCCTGATACTCCATTTTTCTTGCCTTAGAGGCTCTATTACTAGGATGTTATGGTGTTGGGTTTTTGGCAACTTTGTCCAGTTGCTTGGATGTGAGCACCAGATTAAGGTTACAAAACTAGTCTACATAATTAGGTCCTTTGACTTTGTTGTCAAAACAATTTGGCGAATTGTCCATGTGCCATTTTTGACAAAAAGCATAAGTCAATTAATCCTTGACCTTATTTCTATTTTTGACAAAAAGCACAAGTAAATTAATCCAAATTATCTAATAATTTTCATCTTAGTACATGAGCCCAATTGAAAAAGGTTGTTCGGCCCATATAGTTGTCCATGCTAAAATGGGCTATTCTTGTTTTGGTCTAGCTCAAAATAGGTTTTACAAGATGGGCCAAATTGGTCCATGCAATGGCCCATCAAATCCCGATTCAAGATCCAATCTTGATTACTTAACCAGTGATCCAAGGGGCTATTATTAGTCTCCATTAAATCATAGGTTCGGCCCATGAGAATTGGACCAAAACTAGGTCAAATCAGCCTAGGGTTTGGTGTCCAAAACATGCATCAATTTACAAGGATTATGATATGAAAATTCTTAGTTATGATTCATAATCATAATAGCAAATAGTCAAATTAAATAACTAGGGCCGATAGTGTGCTAGTTTGAATTCAATCCGGACGAATGCAAGAAGCCACCGAACTACTATCTCCAGATCGGCCTTCTTCTCTCTCTTTGTCCATGATCTCTGGCGATTTCTCCGATGTAAATAAAATAGAAAAACCATAATTTCTAATGCTTACATCAGAAAAACCTAATATATTCTTTCTAAAAAAAAAGAATTAATTATATACCAAATAATCAAATTGATGCACATGAACCTTGCCACCATCAAAGATTTTGATAGCCATCACACTTTTACCCCAATAATTCAAGAATCTAGCATAGAACAATTTTATAATAGATTAGAAAATATAAACATTGATTTTTAGATTATTAGCCCTCATACTGAGAACTGATTTCTTAGTTTGAAACCAAAGAGAAGGGGGGTTATACCTGATATGGAAACCACAAAATGTAGCTCCCAAGGTGGTAATTCATGCCAATATCAGTCCCAAAATCGTTTTCCAACTGGAAATGGTGCAGTGTATAGAGAATTGATTCAACAACACTTGTTTTCATAAATTTGCTATCCAACTTGTTTGGATTGAGTGGGGTAATTAAGCCTAAAATTCTTTTGAGTTTTTCTTGAAAAAACAAAGAAGAAAAATAATCAAAATTAGTTCTTGAAAGCCAAAGCCGTTCTAGGGTTTCTTTGGAGACAAAAGAGAAGGAGGGAGAACAAGAGAGAGAGGTATTCAAGTCTTGTTCACCCTCTTTTTCTTTTATCTCTTAATGGAGCATTCTCCTAATCTAATTAGGAGATTATCCAAATCTGAATTAGATATGGACTCTTTTAACAATTAAACATTATCCTCTTAAGAGGATAAGTGCTCCATACCCAATACTAAACCCAAATTTGACCCAAATCACATGACAACTTATCATGTGACAATTTAATTAATCTTATTAATATTGGGCCTTTGGACCATTTTCTTTAATGGCTCATGACCCTAGGTGTTGCATGGCCACATTAGGCCAGATATTGTATGGTATGGGACCCCACAAAGGTCTCTCTCATGTCCATAAGGGTCTGGCCCACCTCTGAAAGAGTTTAGGCTGAATTCACTACTCAAAATAGTGAACCCCTGTGCCAATTAGCATACACTTAGTATGGGCCCAACATTTACACCTAAATGATCATTGGATTCAACCACTCTATGAAGACCCAAGGATAATGGACTTAGGTGAGATAAGTCCCATCAGGTAATAATCCCTGTAATGGTCTCTAACACTTAACCTCTCAGCCCATAATGATCAAAACATTGCTCAATAGGGAAAGACCTTTCCCTTAGCTGTAAGTAGACCTGTTCATGGGCCGGGCCGGGCCAGGCTCGGGCCGGGCTTTCACTTGTCACTAATGAAAATATACTAGGCCCGAGCCCGAGCCCGGCCCGACCAATGGGCCTATAACTTGGGGCTGAGCCCGACCCTATTAAAAAGCCCGAAACCCGAGCCCGAGCCCAAAGCCCGACCTAATTGAAAAAAAAAACAATTTTCCCTATTCAAATTAGAATTAAAAATTCAGATAGTATTTTTTTTTATATTTAAATGAACAATGGGCCTACAAGATGGTATTTTTCCCTTTCTTTTATATTTTAAAACACAATTTTACATTCTTAAATCAAAAAATTTATTCAAATGGACATAATCACATAACTAATTTT